ATAAAACATTTAAAACAACCCAAAAGTTAAAAAGAATAATACAAACATCTTACTCCTACCATCTAGTTTATGGAATAAAGCATTGCCAAAACAGTTGAAGGTCTCTTTCCCCAAATCACAAGCTCCCTCCCTTCTCCCCAAAGGTAATAACCAGTTCCCTGCCTCTGGGAATGTATTATCACCTTGCACTACTTTTTTTTTTCTTTCTTTTTTTTTTTTTTTGAGACAGGGTCTCACTCTTTCACCCAAGCTGAATGTTGTGGTACCATCTTGGTTCACTGTAGCCTCCATCTCCTGGACTCAATCGATCCTCCCACCTCAGCCTCCCAAGTAGCTGGGACTACAGGCATGCACCACCACGTCCAGCTAATGCTTCTAATTTTGTGGAGATGGGATTTTGTCATGTTGGCCAGGCTAGTCTCAAACTCCTGGGCTCAAGTGATCCTCCCTCCTTGGCTTCCCAAAGTGCTGGGATTATGGGTGTGAACTACCACACCCTACTCCATCCTGTACTTCTTTGTACTTTTACTACATGTGTATGCATCCATAATCGGGAGATAGTATTTTTTCCATATGTAAGTATATCTGTTATTTAACCCAGTCTCCTAATAATCCAATCTAGGAGTATCTCTGTTTAGAGATTAGTTTTAGAGGGTGTAATAACTTGCCCAAGGTTTCTAGATAAGTAAGCTCAAGGCTGATTCCCAAGTCAATGCTTTTAACCATTGTTCTCTATATTCCTCTGGCCGTGAGACATTGATGCCCCATGGACTTATTAGTTATCTGATTCCCTTTCCATGCTACATGTCAAACTGCCCCTGAGAAGAGACTAAATATGACGTTTCACCCTCCCCCTAAAACTCTTAATATCTTGCACCCAACAGGAGCGTGATCTGTCTTTATTCAGAGATACTTCCTTCCATTCCCCCTAAACAGTCTCATTAGATGGAGAAACTGCCAGAAACTCACTTCGAGGAAGAGAAGGGTGGGACCTTGCCTGATTTCGTTAATAGCTTGCAGCAACTTTTAATTATCCAAGTGTCAGCTTTACTGGAAAGGATGAAGCATGCAACCCTCAGGCTCCAAGATGGTGATGGTGTGTGTATGTTGTGTGGGGGATGGGAGATATTAGAGAAAAGGGGAACCTCAGAAAATCAGCCCCCCAGAACCAAGACACCCTTCCTTCCTCTTTATAGCCACATGGGGGCTAAGCTGAGATATGGGATCTAGTCTAAGCTTAAGGGTAGACACACACCAGAACCCAATGAGGGGTGAGGGGTATTGTGGTCTGCGCCCTCCAGCAACCTGGAGGGTGCATGTGGGCCAGTGTCCAAAGGGTGTGTGGATGCACTGAGGGTTGGGAGCAGGATGACCCCCAGGGAGGGAGTATTATAACTGTGGATATTTATAAAGAAACAAGAAACCAACATTTACCAATACTTAATATATGAATTGACAATGGCACTCCAGTGTGCTTTCAAAATATCAGGATGTATCCAGGCCACATGTACAAAGTGGATTCATGGGCCTTGCCATCCAGTTTAAACTAAACTCATACAAAATGGACAAAGGGCCTATTAAACAGATCCCTGCAAAGAAACCATGGACTAAACATACTAATTATCCAAGAATAAGCAGTAAGAAAATGGCAGAGCTAACATTTCACCTACTCCCAATATTAGCCCTTTGTCAGACACATCAGAGGGGGAAACCTTAAGTCAAACACACATTTCTACCCATCCACTGTTGTGTGTGTGTGTTTTAAGTGGGGTTACCTGTTGCCCAGGCTGGAGTGCAATAACGTGATCATAACTCACTGCAACCTTGGAACTCCTGGGTTCAAGCTATCCTCTTGCCTCAGCCTCCTGCATAGCTAGGACTACAAGATGTGTGTCCCAATGCTCAGCGAATTTTTACTTATTTTTTGTAGACTGGGCCTTATCTGGCCACTTTAGTATCAACACACCGATCTATATTTTTTCTATGCTGCATAATAAATTATACTATTGTTAAAGACTAGGCCGGGCGTGGTGGCTCATGCCTGTAATCCCAGCACTTCGGGAGGCCAAGGCAGGCGGATCATTTGAGGTCAGGAGTTCCAGACCAGCCTGGCCAGCATGGCGAAACTTCGTATCTACTAATAAAAAATTAGCCGGCGTGGGGCGCATGCCTGTAATCCCTTCTCAGGAGACTGAGACAGGAGAATCACTTAAAACCTGGCAGGCAGAGTTTACAATAAGCCTAGATTGTGCCACTGCACCCCAGCCTGGGCGACAGAGCAAGACTCCGTCTCAAAAAAAAAGAAAGAAAAATAAAGGCTGCCGAGCGCGCGGTGACTCACGCCTGTAATCCTAGCACTTTGGGTGGCTCAGGGAGGTGGTTCACAAGGTCAAGGATTTGAGACCAGCCTGGCCAACATGGTGAAACCGTCTCTACTAAAATACAAAAATTAGCCAGGTGTGGCAGCAGGTGCCTGTAATCCAAGCTACTCGGGAGGCTGAGGCAGAATTGCTTGAAGTGAAAGTTGCAGTGAACTGAGATGGTGCCACTGGCAGTGGTATGCCAGCTGGTCCAGCCTGAGTGACAGAGACTCAGTCTCAAAAAAAAAACAAAATCTCAACTGCACACTAAAGGTGAAGGAAACTTGAATCAGGAACTGAGAGTAATATAGGCAATAGTTTTTCAATAAACTTAACATGTTCCAAGGGGACATGCTGAAAATGTTTTACTGTCAGTGGGAGAAAACTGATAAAAGCTTCGGTGGTTAGTTTGGTAATAGGTATGTGTTTGTTATCTCTAGATCAACCCTGTCCAATAGAACCTTCTGCAATGATATCTTATGTGAGGTGGCCACTAGCCACAAATGGCTATTGAACACTTAAAAATTGTCACCATGTATCCTATTTGCATAGCTTTAAAATTTTAATTTGGAAAAGGTTATTTTATTAGGTCCCCCATGCCAGATATTGCCCAAATCTTGACAACACTGGTCCTACCCCTTGACCATACATTCGTTTCGGGAAGGTGACTATCCCAGAAATCCTAATGGTGAAGGAACGCAGATTTAGGCTGAAAATTCCTTTCTCCTCCTCCAATTCTTTGGCACTTACCAAATGCTCAATAAATGCAGGTTAGCAATGCCTCTGCATAGACGACGATTGGAAGCCATGAGTTAAGACAAAAGGTTTTTATTCAAAAAACGCCAAGTATAAAAAAAAAAAAATAAGATCTCTTTTATTCCCCTGTACAGTATTTCACTCAGATAAAACCAGCAGGCTACCTGCTGCTCAAAACACAGCCCCAGAGAGGATCTGGAAGGCACACCATCCAGAACTGCTTTTCATAATTATGCTATATACACAGTCAGCAATGCCCCTCCCCACCACCCACGGAGCCGGGACCCACCTGGGTAAGCAGGTGAGGGGCCCCACAGAAGTCAGGGAGCTGCAGCACTGTCCCGCCTGAGTCCCGTCACCCCACAAACAGAGCAAGCGTCGCAGCCCTCCCCCAAAAGGTCCCCAAGTCAGAGGAGGAAAGGAGGAAAGAAAACTAGGGCAGCAGCTATGGAAGCTTGGAACAGGAAGGGAACCAAATAAATAAATAAATAAATACATAACATTGACCTCCAGGTTAGAATGCGCATCTTTCAAAACAAGAAACAAAAACAGGTAAAATAACTTAAAGGCAAAATTTCTTAAAAATTAGATCAACTACAATCTTTTTGTATACTACCATGCCAACTGTACACACATTTACAGCTTTTCTGTTGATTTGCATTGTTTGTGCATTTTGTGTGTGTGTGAGGTCTTGGCTTTGAAACAGTTAAGTAAAAACCAAAAAGGAAGACCAGTTCACTCGGAGTTTTACTAAAGGAGGCAGAAAAAAGGGCAGGTGGCTCAGCGTTTGGCCCTGTAGCCTCTTCCATGGCACCTTTCATATGAAGGAGGGGGTGAGGGAGGACGGGAGAGAAAAATAGGGAACCAAACCCAGGCAGATTTTTGGAGAAGCAGCAGGTAAAAGAGGCAAGTTCAAGTATTTCTCCCAGCACAGCCGGAGTCCCCACAGAAGGCACTCAGAAGAGTCGGAAGAGGTGACAGGGACTTAAAATGGTGCTAGTCCTATCCCAACCCAACCTGTTTCCCCCCTACCTGACCCATCGCGGCATTCAGCAGAACTCGTGATAAGGAAACAGCTCCATGGTAGGGTTCTGACCCACCCCCACCCCCCACCCCCGGGATATTTCAGAGTCCAGCAATGCTGGACACCTATGAGAAGGAGAGAGTATCTATGGGAGGAGTTGAGGCCTAGGACCCCTGGAGAGTCTCTCTTCCCCACTGTTGAGAGGCAGCCTCCAGGGGCCTGGGGTCTGGAATGAGTTGTAAATGTTGTTCCTGTATCAAGCACTGTCCTGCTTGGCGAGAAGTGTCACTGGTACTCGGGAAGCTGGAGACAGAAGCTTCCCCTCCCTCGGGCATCTGACAGAGAGGGGAGGACCTGCCAGAAAGGCTGCTATTTGCTGGGCCCTGGTGACAGGCTGTGGAGGTGGATCTCAGCAGTTTCTTGGGGCAGGAGAACATCTTGCATCCATGGATGGTTCTGGATTTCTTCGAAGGTTGGCCTATCTGATGGTCTCAGGGCCAAGCACCATCTAATGAGATGCTGACACTCTGCAAGAAAGGAGGATAGACAGAGGTTATGAATGACTCAACTTGTTTTTACGCTGCAAAGGTCTTCCCCATTTGCTTCTCAGAGGCCCACAAGTCTGGGGTCCCAGGGAGGCCAAGCACTTTCTAGAACACTGTGCTGGGTACCCTTCAATGGGAAGGTATTGACTAATATCTGGGTCCTTCAGTCTGCTTTCAGCTAAAGACAGACTCTCTTAAACCTGTGGTTTTCAAACTTCAATAGTGGGGGCCTTTCCCACAACACCCACTCACCAGAAATAGGAAGGATGATGACAATAGATTTCGATGAGACACCACTGAGCATGATGAGATGATTCAACTCACCTACCAACTTACAAACATGAACACCACCCACATTGAGGTCACTGGTACTGAAATATTTGGAGGTGCTGACTTAAAGGAGATGCTAAAAGAGCTTTTAACTTTTTACTCCTTGGCAAAACAGCCAGGAGTTATCAGGTTTCTGTCGGTACCTTTAACAAACTTTCTGGGAAAGCCAGATTGTCTTTTCTTCTTAATAGGCTCACACATGCTCTTCCTCTGACCTCCTAAGGAAAGCTCAAGTGCAAACCACGTGATTTATGAGGCCAGCTCTCAAGTGCAAATCACTCACCTACAATTCTAAGCCAAGGGTCAGGGCATCTACTGGAGAATGAAGTTCTCCAGAATTTCAGACTGTCACATGAAGACTAACAGCCCCATGGAGACCAATAACCCCATGGCCAGGGGCTTCCATCAGTTACCTGAAGAGACCCTCTGCCTGAAGAAAACTTGGCCCCTGATGATCTCTTCGTCATGCTCGAAAGGAATATCTCCACACACCATATCATACAACAGGATCCCCAGGGACCAAACTGCCGCCGACCTGCCATGGTAGCGATGGTAGCGGATCCACTCTGGAGGGCTATACACTCGGGTCCCTGTGAGCCAAGGGAATAGAAAACACACTTTTAGCAAAAACAAGCACAAAGCAACTAGATAATATATATGACTCTTTTTTAAAAAAAACCCTTCTCTCAGGAGCTGGGTGAACTCCATTTTTCTCCCTGGGCTAAGGAGAGTGGAGGCGCAGCTTATGGCATCTCTCCAACCCAAAGCATTACCTACCTCTCTGCTAGCCCAAACCATAAACAAATTCTTTACAAACTGCTCCAAGAAACAAACACAGCTGGCTGCAGACCCAAAACCTGAGGCTCTGTGAGGCAGGACCGCCTGCGAAAGGATGAAGGGATGCATGTCTGCACAACCAAGAAAGGTATCCCATAGACTATCCATCCTTACACTGCATTCACCACAGCCCAGGTGAGATTCTCATGGCCGACAGGATCCAAGCAAGGATGCTTGCACAACATCCTAAGTCAAGGGTGCCCTTTGGGAGGCCTTCCTCCCCACCCGATGCGCGCAGGAGCAGACACCCACACCCTTTCCTCCCTAGACTGGAAAGGTAGACACAGCTGCAGGGTTGGTTTCAGACCACGTGATTCCTGTTTACAAACTTTGGATAGTAAAAGAAATAGGAGGGGCCATGCCGCTGGTGCTCACCAGGGGGCAGCAAAGACTTGAAGGAAAAAACATGGGAGGACCCGGCCAGCCATTAACTGTTAAATACAAAAAATGCAGCCCAACCCAGCGTCCTCCAAGGGCAAATAAACATAAACCACAAGCCCGAGTCACAAGTTTTGAAAGGCTGTCGTTTGTTAGGTTAAGCCGCTCAAATGATGACCCACCCTCCGCAGCTTTGATCTCAGGCTCTCCATTCCTTCTTTTCTGAAAGAACCCGCTCCAAGCCCCTCCCTAGGATAGGTTTTCATCCTCTCTGCGGAGACACCCAACTAATTTTCAAACCAACGACAGATCTTATTTCACAACATTCATTCCTGACTCTCACCCCATAACACTAAAAAAAAAAAAAAAAAAACAGTGTTAGGAAACTGCACAATGAAAAGTTTATCTCTGTGAGAGGAGATCCGGCCACTGCACTCCAGCCTGGGCGACAGAACGAGACTCCGTCTCAAAAAAAAACACTAAAAAAAAAAAAAAAAAAAAGGCCACCAGTAATAATAGTTCCTTTTCCTTAACCTTCCCTAGATCAGAAAGGAGGAAAGAACGGCAGGTCTAAAACTACCATACAGAAAACTAACTCCCTTATAAAACAAAACAAAAATTACAAAACCCGCATCAATTTCCACCTCTTCCCCCGCCCCCATCCTTTTACTGGCGGGGAAACTGGGTCAGACTTTAGAAAAATCTGGGCTACCGCCGGTTGCCCACAACCTCTTATTCATCGGGAAAGCTTGGAACTCACTGAATTCCACTTGAAGAATAAAATCATGCCAGAAACATTACAGGTTCAGCTGGCTGAAAATCCCCGGCTTTACTACGCTGGGAGGCTCTCCTGCGTCCCACCCCGGCTAGCATCGAGCCAGGCGGCCCAATGACCTTTACAAAAGGCTGGCGCGGGAGACTGGCCGAGGCCTCGGGGCTGGGCCGGGCCGAGTCACCTGGGCAGCTCCCTCCCGGGCCTGGCTCACCATCGAAATCCGTGTAGACGGTGTCCTTGAGCAGCGCCCCCGACCCGAAGTCGATGAGCTTGAGCTCGCCGCGATTGAGGTCGATGAGGATGTTTTCGTCCTTGATGTCGCGGTGGAGCACCCCGCAGTTGTGGCAGTGTCGCACGGCCTCCAGCACCTGCCAGAAGAAGCTGCGGGCCAGCTCCTCTTGCAGGGCCCCCCTTTCCGTGATGAAGTCGAAGAGATCTTGCACCGGCTCGGGTCTCTCCAGGATCAGGACGAAACTGTCGGGCCTCTCGAACCAGTCCAGGAGCCTAATGACGCCGGAGAAGCCCGAGCTCACCTTCTTCAGCAGGACCACTTCCATGGGCACTCGGGTGCCATTGGGCTGCAGGGGCGAGGGGGCCGCGTTACGGCGGGAGTCGGGGTCGCCCCTCACCCCACCCACTCATTCTGGGGGTCGCTCCTACAGGGCACTCACCAGCTCTCCCCAGTCGGAAATCCGGTCCTTCTCCACGTGTTTGATGGCCACCTGGAAGCCCCAGAGTCTCCGTCAGGTCCCCTCGCCTGGGCTAATGCACGCCCGTGCGCCCCCCGCCCGGCGCGCCCTCC